ATATAATTATTATTCAATTAACTTTTTAACTTTTTATTGTTATATTACATGTTGATATGGAAATCCATCTCATTTGGTATGTTAATAAATCTTCCGATACATACGTATTTAACTTAGATTAGAACTAATCTATAAGTTGGAATGCTACGTAACACAACTTTTTAAAATACTTCTTAAAATCATGCAATTCAAATAATAAAATCCTATGTTTATTTTAAACTAAAATAATTTTTTTATTTGTACTCTGATTGTTACAAAAAATATATTAAATTTCATAATTTTTTATTATCTTTCATATGACACCAATATTGAATATATAAAAATAAAGATAAAAATTAACACTTTAAAAAACATATGTATTTTAAAGTGATATATCTGCTTTATTTGTACTCTGATTGTTACAAAAAATATACAAAAATTTATAACTTTTTTATAATCAATATATATATAAAAGGAACTTTTTAAGAGAATACAATGTGTCACATAACCTTACCATGTTATCATATATAATAATTATTTAATTATTTTTAACTTTTTATTGTTATATTACAGTTGATATGGAAATCCACCTTATTTGGTAACTTTAGCAACATTCAAACCTACGTAAAGATGCAAGCTTTATTTTGAATTTTCAATTTCAGCATTTGGAAACATAAAACCTACATATAGATGTATCCTATACTTTACCATATTTAGATTTAAATATTTATGACAAAGGAAACTTTACATGTTGATGACAGTAGCAAAGGAATCAAATTTTAGTAGGTCTCCAAACATAAATTCAGAACTTCTCAACATTAAAATCACGTTCATGTAGGCTTCTTGGTGTTTCTAAAATCAGAATTTCAAAACACAAAAATTCCGTATAGCGCAGCTGTATGCTATTACACTTTACATATTGATCATCATAGAATTGAACACTTGCTATTATAAAAAGGAAGAGAATGTAAACTATAGTATGTTTTCATTATTCAGTTTTATAAATTTTAGTAATTGATAGAGTTTCTCCTTCGTTCGGAGAGTTCCATTGTTTAGAGTTCATACATCAAGAATGTCATCACAATAAGTTTCTACAGTATTTTACTAATATATTATTAAAAACTATATACATTAGTATATATCATACTTTGCCATTAATATGTTTATGATGCTTGATATTATGCATTATACTTGATTGATTAATACTATGTATTACATAAAATGCGGAAATTATTTTCTAATACGTCAACTTGATACATCAAAGTCCGACTGGAAATTAAAGTTCGTGTTACCCGCCTCTCTGATGTCATCCAAACTGAAAAACTGAATATACGAAAATAGATCAAAAAGTATTAATAATAGTTGATTTTCTATGGAAAGTACAAAATAACTATATAGCTTATGCGTGAATACAAACGGCAGGATTAGTTAATAAGATACAAAAAAATTCTTATGAATAAACACAAAGAATCAGAAATAACCATTTACCGTCAACAAAAATACAATGCCATTTGGAATAATGGATAATGAATCCCACTCACTAGAAATGTGCTATATATGGTACCATGCTCTACATGGATGGATCAAGCATTTGAATTGAGAATGAACGAAAAAATACGTTTGGATTCCGTGGTATCTTCAATTTTTTTAATTAGTTTAGACACCTCAGATTTGTCCAATTTAGAAAAGAGTTGAAATTTTAAAAACTACACTTTTAAACAGTTTCAAAGTGACGAAATTATGGGTTAAATGTAACATCTCACTATTAAAATTTAAAATTAATTATGCATACCATTCAGTCAGAACTTAATCAATTTCTGCAAAACCAGTTGATTCGATCAATTCCAGTTTTATCAAACGGGCTCTATATTAAACTAAGAGGGTTTTTTTTATTATGTCATGTCTAGATTAACATCATGTCTAGGTTAAGATGTCTGGTTAAATGATATTTGTATTTGAGGCTGTTTATTTTGTATGCTGAATTAACAGTCTGAATCGTGTAAAATAAACAATTCCATATTATTCTTGATTTATAGTGTCAATGAAAAAATTCATTTATTAATTGAAAATTTGAAAAAAAAAGACAGAAAAAACGTCTCAATAGACGTCTTAATGGGAAGAACTGTTATTCTCCAATTTAAGGATTAAGTTAGTTTTTTGACTGAATGATTAAGTCATATTTTCAATTAAGTAGTAAGTAAACATTACTTAATGACTGAATGATTAAGTCGTCAATTGTCATTAAGTCTATTAAGTCGAAATTAAACAACCCCTGAGTTTATTTTGCTTTTGCATCACATTATATATGATTTTGAAAAAAATCAAATTTAAATTTAGCTAAATTACGTACTATGATGAATATTTGGAAACCGGTTAGAGGAGTCACTATCACTGAGCTAAGGGATAGAAGGTACATGTTTCAATTTTATACTACCTTCGTCCCGGTAGACTTTGTCAAGTGCAAAGCGGTGAGCAATAAGAGTAGGAAAAATTGTGTGGTAGAGATTTGTGCAGATGAGAGAGAAATGTGCAGAACCACATATTAGTTGCTTTAATAGGATAGTGGCAAAGTTTTTTGGGACAACCAAAAGGGAAAAATTGTCAAAGTCTAATGGGACGAACGGAATAATAAAAATGATATGCTAAGGGTCCTGGAGGAAGGCCCCTGGATCTTCGATCAAAATCTTCTTGTATTTAACATGTTAAGGAAAGGGGATTTACCATTAGAGGTGCCCTTAATCAGGGCTGGTTTCTGGTTGCATTTCCATTATGTTCGGGTTGGATATTTTATTATGAAAAATGCAATAAAAATTGGTAATTTGTGGGATAATTCATTAAAGAGGATGAACATAATTTTTCCGTCAAGTGGAATCCGTTCATGAGGATAAGAGTTAGTATCGATCTGACCAGACACTTTAAACGGAAGCTATTTTTGCAAATAGATTAAGGGGATAGTTTTTGTGCCAAGTTTAAATATGATAAACTCCTTAGTTTTTGTTTTGCATGTGGTATTATTGGGCACACAGAAAATTATTGCCCATGTTACTCCAATGGTATGGGGAAGGGGGAGACCTACTGTTTGGATCAGAACCGAGAACTTCGAAGGAGAGAGTACTGGCGGGTGGGAATGAAGGCGAATGCAGTAACCGTACCGTGTACATGTGTGGACGGCCAAAGAACTCCACAAAAGGAGCAAGAATATCATGCTACAAGAGAGAAGATTGAGCAGAAGCGTAGGAGGGTTGACCAAGGAGATGTAGGCTCTTTGTAAGCGGGTATGGAGGTAGAAACTAGAAAGGGGATCGACAAAAAACGGAGAGGAGGCGGGCTACAATACCCGCCTGTCACACAATTGAAGATTGGGCAGGAGGATCCAGTAGGGGATGGAAGCAAGAGAGTTCCATCAGCTGCAGTTTTATTTCTATTGCATTTTTTATTTCAGACTAAATTTGCTTGTTTTTTGTTTTGCATAATAAGGGGTGTTAGGGGGTGGATGGGTATGTGTGTTGCTTGGGTTTTGTTGGTAGGAAAATTGTTTGAGGCAATTAGGCTGATTCAGCCGTTAATAGCCTCTATGCTCGAACTGTTTCAGCAAATATTCTCGCTCTTATCGGGGTGGACTATTCTATGTCTAATCATGACGTGAAGAGATATGATCGTTTCTCAAAATATGATAAAATAAATATGATAAAAAAAGAAGACAATATGAAAACAAATAGGAATAACAAAATGCGTGATGATATCATGATATGCATTAGAGGTGAACACAAGTTACACAACAACCCCTTTCAAAAAAAAAAGTCGCACAACAACCAAAAAATCGAAAGCGAAACGGAATGAAAGCCAAAAACGACAGAAATCGACTCAAGCTGTGCGGTCCAATTCTTTCACCTTTTCAAAAAATGGCTCACTAAAAATCGATAAAACCGAAATTGACGAACACTTTTAATATCAATACATGCTATATGCCGAGAAAGGGATACGAACTGCAAGAAATAGTCTCTCCATCCATCAAAGCCTAGTTAGTTAAATACGGTACGAGAATTAAACGAGGTTTAATACGTACACGTTTTATTCGGTAACATGAAGAAAAAGATGGTCAAGTTCGTTGACAAAAAACGTTGAGTTTTAAAAATCGTGGATATATGTATACATGTATAATACGTATGACATTTGTTACAAAATTTCGGACAAAAATACGGGGTATTATTTTGAACATTTAAATTATATACAGAGTACTTCACAAAATAATGTACACTAAAAAGAAACAAAAGTACACACATATTCAAGTCGCAAATTTCATTACAACATAAAAGATTAATTCTTTATTGCATAAGTCGATGACAAAAATAAAAATCGTAATCAAGTCCAAGACATAATTTTGCAGGATAATCTGAAAAAAATAAGGCATACTAATGATATAATGAGACCAAGTTAACATCATCATCTTTAATTCTTTAGGGCATCCCCATTGTTTAGATTATTTAGAGTTTAATTGGATGATGTGTAAGATTATTTTAATGGTTATCAGTGTGAGTGAGAGATTATTTAGAGAGATTATTGAAAATGATAATCCGGTATCAAGATTTAAATCCCGGATTATTTTAGATTGTAGTTAAATTTCATTTAATGCATGGTCTAGAAAAACTAATTATTTGAATTTCATGGTTGATGAAGAGTTTTAAGATTTGAAATTATTTAAAATTTATTTAATAAATATGATGTGACAATGATGTGTCATAAAAAATCATTTATTTTAAGATCATGAATGAAGATGTTCTTATATGATCTTCTATGCATTTAATGTATTCATTTAATTAGTTGTTTAATTTATACATTTTAAAATATACATTTTATACGGCAAGTAAGAGTTTTTGTCACTTTAAAACAGATCAACATTATTTTTCATTCTAAACGTGTTTTTTATTAAAAAAAAAAACGGTACACGTGTAAAACGCGCTTAAAACCATAAAAATTTGACGAGGCTTCAAAAGTTCAAAGTGTAATTTTCTCTACTTTGCGAAGTAATGTTGAAAATGGAAGCTGATTTCTTTTTTATGAGGGGGGAGGGGGATCCTCACCACTTTTTCTTTTATTTGAATAATAAAATGCTCATTTCTAAGGTCACCAAATTCTGATATAAGTTCTTCCCTGCTCTTGCTGCACTCTGCCCCGTGAGACCCCCAAAAGCCTTTTCCTCATTGAGCTGCTTAATTACGCCATCTCAGTGATTAACATCTGTTCGCCATTTGCTACAGCCGCGGATACATACAACTACTACTCTGTACTAGAGAGAGAACCTCTGCTTCAACGTCGCCGGCGATCATGGTGTTCACTTCCGGTCGGCCGTTTCTTTTCAAGGTACTAATTACTTACCACTCACTGCATCGACTCTCTGGAGATCGACTCTGTAATTATGATTTACATATAGATGGAGACGCATTTCGATCGTATTTTGTTTTTTTTTTCTTTTTCCATAGTTTTTGGTTTTCGTCTTTTCAATTAATCCCATCATTTTTCTGTGAAATTCATTTAATTTTCTTTTTAATCATCACTTGTTGGATGTAGCAACATTCACTTGACTATATGAACTTCACATGACTGATATGTTTTTATCTTTCTTTTTGAAGTCATTTCAAAACACTTTTTCAATTAAAGTTTACAAAAATTCATTGTTACTTCTAATAATTAAGTTGTGAATGATTAGTTTCATTTATACGGAGTAGTATAAACGTTAACCGATGGAAAACTTTAGATTCAGGAGCCACCTACCCCCGGTCCATCCAAATTAACGTTGTACTACCTCCATCTTATTTTATGTGTCTCTTTTGATTTTAATACAATTTTTAATAAACTAATTGAAAAGATAAAAGTTATGATTGAGATTTGAATATAGTATAGTGAAATATTGTGAATCACATATTTTTTTCCAAATACGGAAATGCGACACTTGTTCTGGAACAACTCAAAAAGAAAAGTAATAAAAGTAAAATGGGACCGAGGGAGTAAAATATAGAGAATATATCTACGCAGCACGGAGCAGTAAACCACGAGGATGAAAAATTTACGGAGTAGGATGAAAAATTTACGGAGTATTTTGCAGGAGATTTACAGCAAAACATGTCTTTTTTCCTAATATAGGATCAATTAGTTTTAACATTCTTAAATGAGTCTTTTTATAGCCTTTATTGTTAAGATTTTAAGACATTCAAAATATGATCGGCTTATGCTTTAACTGGAAACTATGAACGGGTCTAGTTTGACTAGGATGTTTTTTCTATAGATTTATTTTAGCCCAAGATTAAATCAGACTTAAAATATAAGAATACATTTCAACAATGTAAAATTCATATATATCTAACATCTACTACCTCCGTCCCAAAAAATTCTTCTCACTTAACTTTTTGGGATGTCCCAAAAATGTCTTCTCATTTCCCCTTTTGGAAAGGTTTGTGCGGCTACAATTTATTTACCTTTTTTTTACTTAACCACAATCATACATTTCAACTTTATTCTTACTTTCTTAAACTCTGATCTAAATAAAACTGAAAAGAATTTTCCACGACGGAGGGAGTATTAAACAGACTCGACCAATTATTTCAATCCAATTTAAAACATGATAAATCTCAAACCAAATCTTGTGCAAATCTTCTCTATTTATTAATTATTATCACTGAGCGCATATATTCTTTTCTTTGGTCAGTACAAACATAAAAGTTGTAATTTTCTCAAGTCGCAAAGGTAAAACTTAGTGCATCTAATGATTAAAGCAGACCTCGTCAATCGTGATCACATAAAAACAAAACATCTTTATTATTCCCTTTCTTACAATAAATAAAAATAAAGTTGTAACATCTTTATTACACATTCTCCCTTAAATAAATTAAATTTCTCACTAATTTATACGTAATTATTCAATTAATCTAATTTTTTCTTGTAATCGAGGAGTACGTAAATCACACATCAGGTTATACGATGTTCACCGTACAACCGGATATTTTATCTTATACTAAATGAGTAGAACGTTAAAAGAAATAAACACTAGTATAAATCAGTTTTTTGGTACCTAAATGACTATAGAAGTGTGCAATACATTATTATGATCTACACGTCATATATATTCTACAAATCAACTTATTAATGTAACTATATTTTCATTGTATTGTCATAAAAAATATTTGTTGTGCTATAATTATAATTTCATACTAATACTCATTTCATTTTAATTATATACTCCGTATTCATTGAGTATAAATTAAAATATCCAATTGTACCGGGCGCATGGTACAGGTGGTTGTACCATATATAAAATTTACGATAATCGAGCAACATCAATATATTAACTCATCAAAGTTTTTTGTATTAAATTCTTCTTTTATTACGGAGTATTATCTATCAATTTTTCGACAATATTTTATTCAAATAATTATGATTTAAATTGTCAAACATTTTGATATAAAAATAAATAAACTTGAGTTTAAACCAATTTTTTAAACAAAATAACCGAAAGATGTGAAAAAATAAAATTTAACTATAAGATTTTAGTTTTAGCATTTTGATCTAGCTAAAAAAAATTCCGCCTATAAACCCCCATCAGATGAAACTTCACATTTTAAAAAAACTTTATATACTCCGTATGAAATATTGGTGTCATATGAAAGATCATAAAAAATTATTCATTTTAATATTCTTTTATAAAATTGGATTATAAATAAAAAAGTTATACCACTTTTAAGGTCATCCTCATTAATGAGATTATTTGGGGATCATCTTGATGATGTGGAAGATCTTTTTAAAGATTATGGTTGAGAAGATGAGATATTTAGATAAAAAAAAATTTGGGGGGAAACTGTCAAATATATCCTCGTACTATATTAAAAGCATCAATTAAATCCTCGTACTCTAAAATCACCCAATTAAACCCGTCAACTATTAAAAAACATCCAATTGAGCTTTCTAGCCGGTCACCAACTGGTTACCCAACTGATGTGAAAGTTGACGTGGCGTTTTTATGTGGCTTTTCTAATGTTTTTGTATTTTTTAATTGGATGAAATATGGGCTAGTATTCTTCCCTTCTTGTGCCGGAAGAAATATGAGTCAGGGCTACCTTAGCGTTCTTCTTCGCATGGCCGTTGTTGATGTGGAGGGCGGGAAGAAATCTGAATCATTTCTTCTCCTATTGCTCTCTTCCATTTCTCTTCTTGATTGATTCTTTTTTTTATAGGCCATCTCCAATAGTTTACATCATTTTTTACATTAAAATTGTATAAACATTACATCATACAGTACTTTATCTCGAACGGTTTACACTATTTTTATAACTAAAAAGGAATATGCTTTTTTAATTCTTTTTACTCACTTTTTACCATTATTATATTTATATCTCTAATTATCATATATTTATACATTAGTCCCTCATTTAATATGTCTTTTGACATTTCACTCATTATTTCACAAATACAAGCTAAAAAATTACTATAATCAATATTTCACAAACACATGCTAAAGCCTTATAAAATTAAATATTACAATAATATTATAATAATTCATACGTCATAAATAAAATACTACTTAAATTTAAAGCAATAAATTAAATAAATATTCTTAGTTTAGTTGTCGAATTTTATAATTATTCCCACAAATGATCAATTAAAGTATTGGGGAGCTCAATATGACTATTTTTGTCGTGAATTTGTTTATGTTGGGTAAGAAATTGACTGAACCTCGCTACCTCATCAACTGTCACTTCAACATCTGGAATTAGTGTATCTCTCACATCTTCAACTAGTGCATGTATATCACGTTCATCCTCTATTATCATATTATGCATAATAATACATGCACTCATTATGTCATAAAAGACTTTTTTCTTCCAAAAACTTGAAGGTCCCACGATAATTGCAAATCGGGATTGCAAAACTCCAAAGGCACGTTCAACATCTTTTCTACATGCTTCTTGTCTCATGGCAGAATATTTCTTCTTTCTACCTTGTGGTTGATGAATTGTTTGGACAAGTGCTCACCACTTTGGATATATACCATCCGCTAAATAGTAACCAACATTGTACTCTTTTCCTTGAATAATATAATGAGCAGGAGGAGCAATACCCTGTGCTAAATCCGAAAAAGATTGGATGCTTCTAAAACATTAATATTATTATTACTACCTGGCATTCCAAAATATGCGTGCCATATCCAAAGTTCATAATCTACCACAGCTTCAAGAATGATAGTTGGTGAGCCACTACGACCAGAATATTATCCTGCCCATGCAGTTGGACAATTTTTCCATTTCCAATGCATGCAATCACGACTTCCCAACATTCTTGAAAATCCACGTTGTTTTCCAATGTCAAACAGTCTCGCTATGTCATTGTCATTAGGTCTTGTTAGATAGCGCTCTCCATATATTTTGACATTAGATCGACAAAACCTTTTCATACTTTCAATTGCTGTAGACTCGCCTACTATAACGTACTCGTATTTGGCATCCGCAAGCACACCATAAGCCAAAATACAAAATACAGTTGTTATTTTTTGTAAAGCTGATAATCCGAGTCTGCCTGTTGCACTTCTTCGTTGGTGGAAATAATTGTCATGAATTGTAATTGCACAAACAAATTCTAGGAACAAATCTCACGACATACGATATCGTCAATGAAATAATGCTTCTTCGTAACGTGGATTGGGAGAGAAATAGTCCGGGATCAAATTATTGTCTCACATCTCTTGATCACGGTCTATCACCACATGACCATGAATTGGTCCATGGTGCCTAATAGGCCTATTGAGCTCACCAATACAATGACTTATTGTCATGTTGTTGTTTTTTAGTGCCACTATCATCATTTTTTCTTCTTCATCAAGTTGTGCTATAGTGTTCATCACTAAAGCATCATCATCGGAAGAAGACGATGATATGTAAGAAGATGCTCCAATATTGAAGTTCATTTTTTGTTGATGTAATGATCCATCTTATGTGTTAATTTGTTCATATTTTACAAGTGCGCTTATCTCAAAAGATAAGAATTCAATGGTTGTGAAGATAAGGAAATCCATCCAACGGGTAATCTAATGATTCCCTATCAACTTGTGTCTGAAATTGTAAGTAGTACGTGACAAGTAAGCTTATCTCAAAGGATATGAATCCAATGGTTGTGAAGATAAGGAGATCCATCCAACGGGTAATCTAATGATTCCCTATCAACTTGTGTCTGAAATTGCAAGTAGTATGTGACAAGTATGCTTATCTCAAAAGAAAAGAATCCAATGGTTATAAAGATAAGGAAATCCATCCAACACGTAATCTAATGATTCTCTATCAACTTGTGTCTAAAATTGTAGTAGTACGTGACAAGTATGCTTATCTCCAAAGATAAGAATCCAATGGTTGTGAAGATACGGAAATCCATCCAACGAGTAATCTTAAGATTCCTGGTCAACTTGTGTTACAAATTGTAAGTAGCTGACAAGTATGCTTATCTGAAAGGATAAGAATCCAATGATTGTGAAGATAAGGAAATCCATCTAACGGGTAATCATAAGATTCCTTATCAACTTGTGTCACAAATTGTATGTAGATGACACGTATGCTTATCTCAAAAGATAAGAATTCAATGGTTGTGAAGATAAGGAAATCCATCCAACGGGTCAACTTAAGATTCTGATGGTCCCGGATAGAGGTAAAAGTCTAGAGGGGGGGTGAATAGACTTTTAAATCTTTTTCAACTTTATGAAGTTTTCCCTCTAGATGAGTTGATCTATAATCTTTTAAGAGATTAATAGATGCACAGCGGAAGTCTTTAACCTCTTTATACTTAGTGTGAGATAACTTTCTAGTTTAGATGATGTTTAGACTGGTGACAAGAGGAAGTAGGCTTGGCAGTAGACTGGTGAGCAGGTAACTGCTTAGTCTACTGCTGCACAGGCAGTTTGCTGACTGGCAGGCAACTGCTGAGTTGGCAGTCGGCTGGTGGGCAGGTTACTGCTGAGGCAACTGTTAAGAACAGGATGACTCTTGGATGGCTTTTTGTTCTGGCTTGTTATGGCGTTCGGAAAGACACATATGAATGGGCAGTGGGCTCAGCAGGAGGGTGAAGACCAGGGTACTGCTGAGGCACCTTCTGAGTGTAAGATAACTTCTAGTGGAAAACACTCTCAAGGAGAGTGAGTTATTAAGCAGTAGGCTAAGCAGTACAGTCGATGAAGACTACTGCTTAGGATGCTGCTGGCAAACTACAATCCTTTAGTGAGATGTGTTTGGTGTGTGCTTCTGCATGTATGAAAGTAAATCAACACACGATATATCCTGGTTCAGAGGTGGTGTAATCCTCCTACATCCAGTCCCACCCTATTTCAGATGGATTTCCACTAAAGTATTCAGCCCAATACAATTAGTGCCAATCTAGCCTTGACAACTCTGGCCTAGATTGAAGGTTTTTCACGATGAGTATAACACCACTCAAAGTTACTCAGTCCTTAAGACTTTTCTCGATTGATCCAGTGGGGATCAAAAGGTACTCTATCTATCTAACCACACTATAGGATCCGAACAACTGTTCTCCTAAGTGTTTACAACCACTTGTAAAATACAAGGAATTTCTGGCCTACCAACTAAAATCTAAGCTCTAAAAATATGACAATTTATGATCTAATCTAAGAGCTTAGTGAAGCATGAGTCAAAGCAGAGTGTTCAAGCACTTTCTCTTTTGCTGGATATGCGTAGTGTAATGACTGAACCACTTGCTTTGAACTCAATGACTTACCTTTGATCTCATGCTTCTGCCTATTTTTATAGGCATCTCCAGTAGATTAATCTCCTCCGTTGGTTAAGAGGATTTAATCCTAGACGTCCAAAGTGTTGTACTTGCGTCTTCTTGTGTTGGAGCAGGATAAGGATTTGTCTTTTGAAGACCACTTGCTTTGTACGAAGATAACACCCATACCTTAGGCCTTCTTATCGCTGCATGCCTATTCTGAAACTTCTTCACTATTCACCCATTCTGATGTTTTCTCTGCTCTTGCATTTTGGCCTGTCTTGCAACTATACTCGTGAAGCTGAGTGCGTGAACCTGCTTAAGTAGTGAAGTAGTAAAATGTGTGACTTAGAATATTTTGTATCAAATAAATTTTGTACTGGTAGGATCTTTGAAATATCCTATTAAGGTAATAAGATTACCTTATTGCATTTTGTTCTTTCCAGTACAATTTATTTGGTACAAATTTCACAGTAAAATTTGTCACTTATTTTACTAATCACTTTCTTTCTTTAAGTGACATGATTAAACTTATGTACCAAATTTAAAGCTATACTGGTTGGATCTAAATATCCATGTAAGGTAAATAATTTTTACCTTATTGTATTTTATAGTTCCAGTATGTTTAATCTGATACATAGTTTGTACATTGGAATTCTTGTCACTTTTAAGTACTTGTGTAGTTTGGCAGGTATTGTGTACAACTTAACTGGTAGGATAACAAATCCTATTAAGGTAAAAGTTATTACCTTATTGCATTTTGTGTTCCAGTTAGTTGTTCACTATTCTTGTTCACTTTGATTTATCTATATATCAAATAACACTTTACTGGTTGGATTTAAATATCCAATTTTAAGATAAAGACAACTTTACCTTATTTCATTTTGAATCCCAGTGTGTTCTTTTTGTTATATAGATTTTACACTGTTATTTATTGTAGTGAATAGAATATCAAGAACTCTTCTTCTGAGTGTATGGTTTATCTAGTATTTCGAACATGATAAGCTAAATATTTAACTGGTAGGATATCAACTCCTATTAAGGTAAAATTACCTTATTGCATTTTGTTTTCCAGTTAAAATAGATAGTTTATTTGTGCGAGATGTTATTGTGTGTAACAAATAAATTTAACTGGTTGGATTTATACGATATCCTTTTAAGGCAATATAATATTGCCTTATTGTATTTTATGGTTTTTCCAGTCATATTTATTTGTTAACAATATAAAAAGGAGCACGACACATCTAGATAATTTTCTTAGTACTAGACAACTGCAAGATGCTACTACAGAGGATAACAAAGACTCTTATAATAATGCTACAATAGAGGGGGGATTACAAAAGCTTTTGGCATCATCAAAAACAGTTCATCAAAATCTAGGGTCTAACAGATTCCTTATCAACTTGTGTCACAAATTGTACGTATTTGACAAGTATGATTATCTCAAACGATAAGAATCCAATGGTTGTGAAGATAAGGAAATCCTTCCAACGAGTAATCTAATGATTCCTTATCAACCTCTACATTCTATAAATACTAATGCAATGAATTATCACGCTTCATCAAAACCCCTATCTCACAATCTATAGTATATCTTTTTTTCTTTACGACCAAAATGACTTCAAGATCAACTAGTTACACCATAGTGGAAGACACATTGTTGTGTGAAGTGTATTTAGACATTACTCAAGACCCAATTATCGGCACATATTAATCGGCAAATGATTTTTGATCACGAGTTGAGGCTAAATACAATGAACACCGTCAACAAAATTACGAGTATCGTAATATACGCTCACTTCGTTCAAGAATGGATATAATAACTACTCATGCACGAAGGCTGAATGGGTGTGTCATGCAAGTTGAGAATTTGAATCCAAGTCGTGCTTCTGAAAAAGATATTGTAAGTATAATATAATTTTAATTTTCAATAATTTATTTACTTCTATGTAATATAAATATTATTTTAATGATTTGCAGCTAGATCGTGCTAAACTTTTATTTATGCAAGAACTAAAATATTTTTAAGGGCTTAAGTTTGACCATGTCTGAGATATGATTATGTTTTTGAAAAATTTAAAGATAACATGTCAACTGCAAGACATGCTTCTCAACAAAAAAGACAAGTTAGCTACGGCTCTTCGCAATCAGACTCCTATTCACCATCTCTAATTTCATCATCACCTGGATTGTCATCTTCGTTCAATAAACAAGTTGATACTAATTCTAGATCTGATTTTTCGAAACGACCAACAGGGGTCAAAAAAGCCAAATTGAAGAAGAAAATCGATGAAGGCACTACTGTTTTGCTCAAGTCTGTTAAGAGCGACAATGAATAACTTATAGAGATGTTGAAACAATCATCGTTAGATATACAGGAACAATTGGAAATCCAGTGACAAAATATCGCATATAAAGAATAGATGAGAGAAGATAAAATTATGTTCATGGATTTGATATCTATTGACGATCCACAAGCGCCAGTATCTCATTACAGAAAGATAAAAAATTTTACAAAAAAAATCTCAAGAAGGAGACTCATTTGCTGGATTTGGGAATCTATTTGATGGTCTTTGAGGGTATCGAAGCGGGTTGAGTGACTACTAATAATTTCTAAATTAGTATGTAGTATGTATGATTTTAATAATGTTGTTTTTTATTTTAATGGTGTTATTAATTGTAATTTTAATTATGTTATTTTCTTAAGTATCATTTGTATTCTTTTATTATGTTGTTTCGATTTGAAACTTTATTTATAATATTGTGTGATTTAGATTTTATTATATATATTTTATATTTTTTTATCAAATTTATAATTCAATTTTTTGTTTCTAAAAATGGGTCAAAACTATAACAACCAAAACTTTGGATCACTTTTGAAAACAGAAAAATAATAAAAAAGAATGATGGCGCATCACCATTTGGCACAAGATGGTGATGCGCCATCTTTCTTTATTATTATTATTATTTTCAAAAGTGATCCAAAGTTTTGGTTGTTATAGTTTTTACCCATTTTTAGAACAACACATTTAAATTATAAATTTGATAAGAAATAAAACATATATAGTAAAATCTAAATCACACAATATTATAAATAAAGTTTCAAATCGAAACAACATAATAACATAATACAAATGACACATAAGAAAATAATACAATTAAAATTACAATTAATAAAACCATTAAAATTAAAAAAAAAACATTATTAAAATCATACATAATACATACTAATTTAGAATTAGTAGTCACTCAACCCGCTTCCAGACCCTCTAAGACCAT